TCCTGGGCATCGAAATCACAACCAACATATAACCAATAAACAATAATGAAGAAACAAAATCTTGTAAAATAAGCAACAAAATCGTATGGGTTTTCCCCCTAAATGTTTTAGAGACATGCAACTTCATGAAGGACTCATAGTCCCATCATTCGGGCTCAACATAATATCTTCTAGGAACTCAAATCCTAATCGGTCTGATTTATCACACATATCATTGGGGATCTTAGGGTCTGGTGATACTCTCCCCATCGATGGTCTAAAAACACTTTGCCCTTTATCAATGCCCTCGTGCTTAAGGGACTGCATAATATTATATTTGTAAGAGACTTGGAAAGGGCAAGAGCTTTACAACCTCTGGGAAGGGCGAAGATGATGTGTCGCCTTCAAGGAGGTATAACCTTACCCTAAGTTCCTTCATATCGCCTAGATATGTGAAAATGTGAGTAAAGACGTTCCTTGGATAGAGAGAAGTCAGTGCCAGTATTTGGTCCACGTCTCCCTAGAAAATCGGGATTCAACGATCCACCATTGATTGAGTAGGCGGTAACTGTATAAAGAAAACCCTAGGCCCAGGGCATCTATAATTACATATCCCTTAACAAGATAAAATGGAAAACCTCAACTAATGCATAACACCCAAAACATAACGCTTATATACAAAGCTTTTCACCTCTTGTGAGAAGGTCCTTTAAAACCATCGTACAAGGCTTCTTGTCACAGTGGACAAGCCCTAACTATTTCAAACTGTTATAAACCTACTAAGGCCTCTGAGTATTTCCTACCATTGTAGGAATATCACGCACACCTGTCTCTTTTAATAGTACATAAATTAAACGATATGCTTGAACTTTGACATTGATCTTTAAAGTAAAAAATTTTAAGATAGTAAAAATTTGAGAAGGTATTACAACACAAAAGTGGCTTAAAAATGAATTAAAAACTAAATTCTTTATTACTCTCTCTGACCGTGGTGAAATATTATTTTATATCAATTTAAAAATAAAAATAAAAAACATGAGAAGTTTCACCATGGTTGTTATATTTAAGCGAATTTAAATGTGTCTGCAAAGTTAAGAATAAAGAAAGACGCCTAATTAAATATATCTTACTACAATTGATATTTTGGCTGAGGTGAAAGTTCGTTACAAAATCTACATTTTATAGTAGTAAAATCTCAATCTATCGAACTACTTCTTCCAGTCACAATTATAAGACAAAATAATCACTTTCACACTGATTAAGAATGTTAGTTAAGTGTAATTAATTTTCTTGATTTCATATAAAATCAAAGTAAAATTTACTATAATATCCTTAGTTATATTTGATAAATCAACTATCAAAATTAAATGCTTTTGAATTAACATAGGGGTATAATAGTAATACAAGCATAATTAATTTAAAAGTTATTGAATTTTGCTTATAATAGTGACCAGAATCTATATAATATATTAAATTTGAAGTTGTGAATTATATCAAGTCAAATGTTAACACTTCTATTTCATTTGTGTCACATCATCTCATAATCCTATGTGGCACTTCTAAAATCTTATTTTTCACTTTTCAAATAAACAAATACAATATTTATTCTTAACTGGAGGTTACACGATTGAACCTTAGCAAGAACGGAATAAAATCCCATTTTTAACAAAAATATCTAACAAAACAACTATAATTCCAACTATCAATATTTCCTTAAATTTCAAATTTAAAATGGATAATGCTTAATAGCGAGAGTATTTTCGTGAAAATTAATGAATATGCAAAAATCATTTTTCATTGCTCAAGTCAAATTAATTGATTAATCCCTTAGTATATCATTTACAACTGAATTACAATAACACATGTTATACACAACCTCGACAATGTCAATACCTCTTACTTAAAGTTGAGTTTTCATCTTGAATTTTTTTTATATTATTCTTAAATCATCAATTGTATTACTTCAACTTACATCAACTTTCTCATAAATATCTAATAATCATAGTAAGTATTAAATAAGCTCTTTTGGTACGTAAATCATCATAAGCAACTACATTATTCTATTTATGGTGTTTGGAGTGTAATGATCAAAAATATCTAATAAGATATCTTGGTACATGAAAAAATGGTTACTATACTTAATCATTTGTTCTCAGTAAAACCTAAGTAGATGGTGTAACAGTTTAATATATAAAATTGTCAGTCGTGATATTCGCGAGAATTTTCTTCACTATGTATTGCTCTTTTAAAATAGACATGTGAATCTAAACACTAAAATTAAAATTATGTTTTGTTTGAAATCGTAAAATAAAAAGAATACTTCACTTATATATGCTCAAAGTTGAGGAGTTACTAGGAGCACTGATACAAGTGTATGTGAGGGAGCATTGTGGACTCATACTTGAGGGGGAGTATTAGAATAATAATACAAGTGTGAGTAAATGGGGAAATAGTCTTACATTGGATAGGAATGAAGAGACTTGAGAATATATAAGTGGTAGAACTCACTCACCTATTACCATAAGATTTTAGGTGGATAAGTGATGTGTCTCTCACAAAGGTGCATAATCCTCAACTTTGTATCGATGCTCCTAGTAACTCCCCCAAACAATTATATCGTAACACATGTTAACACTTCTATTCCATTTGTGCCACATCATCCCATAATCCTATGTGACACCTCCAAAATCTTAATTTTACTTTTCAAATTGACAAATACAATATTTATTCTTAATTGGAAGTTCGGGTTCGAACCTTGATAAATACGAAAAAAATGTCATTTTTTAACAAAAATGACCTAACAAAACAACTAATATTTCAACTATCAATATTCCCTTAAATTTCAAATTTAAAATGGATAATATCTAATAGCGAAAGCATTTTCGTGAAATTAATGAACATATATATGCAAAAATCACTATATCTTGCTCTAAGTCGAATCCACCGATTAATCCCTTAGTACTATCCTTTACGATTGAACTACAATAACACATATTATACACAACCACGACAACGTCAACACCTCTTGCTTAAAATTGAGTTGTCATCTTAATTTTTTTAATATTATTCTTAAATCATCACATGTATTAGTTCTACCTACGTCAACTTTCTCATAAATATCTAATAATCATTATAAGTATCAAATAAGCTCTCTTGGTATATAAATCATCATAATCATCTATATTGTTCTATTTATGATGTTTGGAGTATAATAATAAAAAATATGCAATAAGATATATTGGTGCATGGAAAGATGGTTACTATATTTAATCATCTGTTCTCAATAAAACCTAAGTAAATGGTATAATAGTTTAATATATAAAATTGTCAATCGTGATATTCATGAGAATTTTCTTTATTATGTATTTCTCATTTAAAATAGACATGTGAATCTAAACACTAAAATTATGATGTTTTGTTTGAAATTATAAAAATAAAATAAATATTTAATATAAATGTTTTTAATATCAAAGTAGTTATAGTCAAAAATATATTAACCTAGCAATAATTTAATAACTTAGATAAATATAATATTTTCATAAATATATACTACTAAAATGGATATATTTGACTCTTTCCTTTTATAAGTGACCATAAGGAGTATGATAAAAAATAGAGGATAAAAGAATACTCATATTTCAATTGATAACAACGACAAAATCAGATAAATTTTTACAATCTCATTAATAAAATTAAAATAGTTATTAAAAAACAATTAAACTACTTTCTCAAGAAGCATTTTCAACTCTTTATTAATTAGATAACTATAAATTGACAAAACATATATAAATTTTATAAAGTTAATAAAGTTTTTTTTTATAATAATTGCAAATAAAATTTTAATTTTATTTAAGATTGAAAATAAGGACACGCCTTTAACAACTTGAATTAAATATCCAAATAAAAGATAACTATTAAGAAGGCATGAGAATCAAAATAAATAAAAAATATTTTATAATTATTTAAATTTGTAAAACTAATTAAGAATGTCATTCTCAATTTACAAGTATATATTTTCCTTTCAAATAAAATGTATCTTTCTATATATGATTAATTTATTTAATTATCTAAATTATAATTTACAATAAATTATTATAATATAAATTTAATAATCGTGTTTCTTCAAAATATATTCTAAAAAATATTTAAAATTTAATAAAAAATCAAATAAACTAATTTAGAACTGCGCATCATGCCGATCTTAATGTAGTTTAAAGTTATTTTTTATTTATAATATTGTCGAGAGGAAGTACCACTTATATTATCAGTAAAATTAATTAACCTAATATTCTTCTAAGAATCATACAAACAAAATATGATATTTTTAAGAGAGAGTGAGTAATAAACACTACTCCCTCCCTCTATCTCATAATAAATATCTTATTTGAATTATACGTGATTCTTAAAAATGATTAAATTTATTAATTTTAATGATAAAATTAATATAATTTATTAAAATATTTTTATTTATTATAATTAATAGAATAATTGAAAAGCGTGAAAGTTAATAAACGAATGGAGTACTATAGTATTGTAAATGATAAATAATTTGAGCTATAAAACATTAAAATTGAGCAACTCTAATGATATTGAGGTAGTAAGAAAAAGTCACTCGTGAAACATTTCATGCTTTCACACACTGATTCATTAATTCAAGCATAATGAAGATCATGAGCCACAAAAGTCCCATGTATGGACAAATCAGTAGGAACCTAGGGAAAAGGAAAGAAAAAGAGACACAATAAAAGCCTTATCATACATTTGATTCCTTCTTTTTCTTCAACTTTTACTTTAAACATTAACATTTTCATATAGAAATAACCCCACTTAATTAATCATCTTTGGCTCAAAAGAAGAAGAATATACAAAGTTGCTTAGATTTGTGGAAAGTGACATCTTCGTCTTCACAAAAGCACTACCTAGTTAAACTAGCTATTTATATATATATATATCTGTGCACTATTGTTGTTTTTTTATGGCCAGTAAAGAGATCATATGAATATTGTAAACAAGTATTAAAATTAATTTGATCTCCCTAAAGTGAAATCCAAGTTTGGATTCTTCTGACAATCTATGTTTTGATCCTTGAAGCTTCTTGATTGTATATAGTTGTTTCCCTGCAAAAATACGTAATTGTTGTAATTTGGATATTTTCCAAGTTAATACACATGAAAGCTCAACCTTCCAATTCTTTTCTTATAGTTCAAGCGCAGACACATAATGAAACACCAGTAATAATTTAAAAAAATAAATTAATTAAATGTAATTTTGAATATGAATATAGACATGCATAGGATTTTAAAAAATGATCCGCGACTGCAAAAGTATTGGGACAAACAGTTTTGATACATACTAAAACCGATATCATTATCGTTGTTTTCTATATTGAAGAATAAATTATGATTAATTCACACCGTGACGATTGCAATCAGTGTCGCGACACTTATACCAACCAAAATTGCAAAAGTTTTTATACAACCGCGATCATTTTTTAAAACCCTGGACACGGACACATCTTTTCTCAAAAGTGTCTGGTTACAAGTATTAACATAAGTGAGGATTAGGGTTTAAAAACCTGAGGAGTGTTCCCAATAAGATGAGATGATAGCATTTCTTCTGTACTATGCTCATCAAAGTCTCTGGAACTACCTTGTGTCCATGTTCCCTTACTGTCATAGGGAACAAAAATTGATGTTAATGAAAGTGAGTCATCAAAATACCAGTTTGTATAAGAAGTACCAAGGTGATAGTACTAAACACAACAGTTTGTAATGATTATTTTGAAAGATATATAATTTATGGCAATGACAGATAAAATTATAAATAATATATCAGTGAATTGATTTTTATAAACTTTTGTACAACTTCCTATGAATATTTTTTTGTATATAACCTTGAAATTATGTATAAAACACAAAATACAAAAACTCAACAATTTTTTTTTGTTGTAAGAATTTTTACTTATTATTATTTTTTAGCTGTCATTTGTCAATGTTCACAGTTTTCTCTTATTTTTAGATTTTTCATATTATATTCTTGTTTTTAATTTTTTAATTTTTATGTCGCCTTTTTCGAACAACTAGTAATCAAGCTTTTTCTTTGATCTAAGAATATGAATTCTTAATATACTTTATGATTGTAGTATTGTTTGATCTTTCACGTCAAAAAAGAAGTTTGATGTGGTGAAAATGTTACTTTTAGAATGGTTTATAGTATGTAAATGTTATTTTAGAAAGGTTCTAGCTAAAAGACTTTATGTGTAAGTATGTACATAGTGAAACTTCATCTCTTTCTTGTGAACTTCTCAATGACTTTATGTGTAAGTGTGTACTTGCTGAAACTTCATCTTTTTCTTGAGAACTTCTCAATTGCAAGTTTTTATTTTTATTTTTTTATGAATAAACTTGTAATCACAAGTCTCATGCTATGAAGTTTGGGTTAGAGAAAAATGATAGAAGAATAGATTTTGATTTTGACCTGTGAAAATTCAAATTAAATATGTGTTCATACAATCATTACCACATAAGGAGATTAAATTGTTAATTGAAGAATTTTCTACAAACATGAAAGTTGAACCATAAATTTTAATTGCAGCCTAATTTTCCACTTCTAAGACTTTTAGAGCGATTGACCTTCAATTGAAATACTTTTCATGATAGAGTATGATATTTATTTGATACATAATTGCAATGAGGACACTACGAAATTTATAGTGTTGTATAGGTTTAAACGAAATATCTTATTTATAATAGAATGCGATAGTTCTTTTAAATTATGATTGTCAACAAAGACAATTTTAAAATTTTTAAAATGATTTAATTTTAAGTGAAATATAATCTATATCGAAGAGTAGGTAAGTTTATTGAATTATGATTGCTAGTGTAAACAATATAAACTAATTTATTGATTTTAATCAAAGTGTTTGTAAAAAAAAAATTTAATAAAAGTGAAAAAACTTTATGTTAGTTGAAATGATGCATATTAAATAAGTCTCACATTACTTTGTTAATAATGAACAAGGATCGAGTGTGGGATTGAGTATCTCTGATGCTCACTTTAATACATATCTTGTTATGAAGGAGCCCAAATACATATATAGTTTTTTGTTATAAAATATACTAGTTGAAAACACTTTAAATTTGAATTCGTGATACTCTAGTGTTAGAGTGTGGTGATGTGTAGTTAGGTATTAGTTTTGGATATTGTGGGTGCAGTGGAAGAGATGAAGTGTTTGAGAAAAGAGTTTATGTGTTGTAACAATTTTTGTATATTATTATTTTTATTTATCGTTTGACAATGACAACGATTTCTTTTTTATTTTGATTTTTTTTATATTATACTTTGATACTACTTGTTGAAAAGTATGGAGAACATCAGAAGCAACAACAGATCAATTCTTTCAGACCAGACCACGAGAGAGAAAAACATTAAATATCACACTTGTTAGAGAGTTTAGAGGAGCGTCTGAAGTAACATCGAGTCAATACTCCCGAACCACAATTTCTATCAAAACCTTGATGAACTATATTTATAAATCACATCTCTTGTATATTTAACATTGTGCATATTCATAGTTGTTGTAAGAATTTACCACTCACACAGAAATCTAACACTTTGCTTTTTCTCTAAATGACTTATGAAAATGCATTGACGGTGAAGTACTTGTTGTGGAAGTGTGCCTAAGTAATTAATAGAAGAAAAATATGTTTGGAGACTATCACAAATTAGAATCACAAAAAGAAGATGAAAAGTCGACGACAGTGTTCCAACATTGTGTTAGAATAATAATGTAAGTGTGAGTAAGTGGAAAAATAGTTTCACATTAGGGGAGTTCACTAGGGAGCGTTGATATATAGTGTAGGACTAGGCACCTTTATGAAAGATACACCACTTGTCCACCTAAAAGCTTAAGATTTTAGGTGGACAAGTAATGTGTCTTCCACAAAGGTGTGTTGCTCAAATAAAAAAAAAAATCCCAAAGTAAGAATGTTCATCGCTCGACCCTCCTATGATTGTTGCAATAACAATGAACTCGCCTATCACCTTAAGATTTTAGGTGGACAAGTGGCGTGTCTCTTAAAAAGGTGTCTAGTCCTACACTATGTATCAATGTTTTCTACTGAATTCCCTTAACAAATGATATCATGAGCCTTTCGTTTTGAGAAAGGGATCGTCTTACTTGTATTGAAATGCTCAAGAAGAGGTGTCTTGTTGTAAGGTGTCAATGACGGTACAAGTGCATGTGGATAAAAGAGTTTCCACTTGAGGGGGAGCATTGTAGACTCACAGTTGAGGGAAAGTGTTAGAATAATAATGCAAGTGTGAATAACTGAGAAAATAGTCCCCACACTTGATAAGAATGTGGTGACTTGAACATTTATAAGTGGGAGATTTCACTCATCTATCATCTTAAGATTTTGGGTGAATATATAGTGTCTCTCTCACTTATGTGTTTCTCTTGACCTAATATTAAATACTCCTCCTCGTGAACTAACACATTGGTTACGCTTCAGTGAGGCAGTCCTCATGAACTAACACATTGATTGCGCTTCGGTGAGGCGATGGTGGCTCGTGGTAGAGCTGCGGTGGCCGTTGGAGTCCACGACAACGACAAAAGGCATTGTTCAAGTGTCAGATAATTGTGGCAATTGAGCTTTAGCAATCCACGACATTACAAAATTGTTGGTTTGTGGCGGTGAAAAGGTTATTCGACGGGTCGTGGGTTTCGGGTTGGATCAATTTGGATCATGAATTTGTTTGGTGACGGAACTTGGTTTTGGCCTGTTTCAGATTTTATAAGTTTTATTAGTTATAAATATGTATCTCTATCACTTTTGTTAGTGAAGATAATAAGACAAATGGAATAGATGATAATCTTAGTTAGATAATGATAGAAATTCTTTATAGTTCTTAGAATTTGAAAAACTTTTAGAGATATATAACGGGATTAGGAAATACATCTAAATACTTTCAATTTGTGTGATTTATATATAAAGAGTTGAAAAGATAAAAAAATTTAAAAAAAAAATAGGATTTGTTATTTGATAATTTATAGACTATTTTCTTATAATTTCACTCACACTCTCAAAACTCAAGCCTCCACCGCTAGACCAATCCTTAAGGGTTAGAAAGTTTTTTTTTTTAAATAGCGCCTCATATATTAAACAAAAAAAAACATTACAAGATATGAGGCAATAAACCCATCAAAAAGTAGAGAAAAGGAAAAAAGGAAAACCTAACCTATTTTGTCCAAAATCCTTCCTAATGCCAATAGAAATGGACTCAAAAATAGTGAGAGAAAAAAAAGAGAGACCTAAATTAAACAAATTATTTATATACTTATCTTTTATCTTCCTTTTACTTTTTGTGAATTATTTACACAGTCAAACAAACTGTTTAATACCTAGATGTAACTGTAAGTGTTGACTCTGCAAAAGGTTTTACATTGGAAACCAAGGTAAATATTACTATCTCATTGTATATGATAGGTCCTTAGCATAATAGGAATGTAAGCAAAATTATTTTATTAATATTTTGGTCTGAATAAAAGCACATGTGCCAAGATACAAAGCTGATATATTTTATTCATAAATATATATCCGTAGTCCATTTTGAGTTTTCATTTTTACATATTAAAAACATATTTCTTGACCATGTAACATAAAAAATTATAACAACGTAAATAACCTATCATACTATAACAACGCAGTTTTAGAGAGAAGCTAGAATTGAAGAAATGGAAAGAGGAGATAAAATTAGAATGGAGGAAGGGAAGGAGAAAATCATTGAGTTGAAATGATTATTGGGTCCATGAATATTAGAGGGGGTGGCAGTAACATGAAGAGAAAGATTAGTGATATGATTAAAAAGGGAAGTGTTGGCTTATTTTTAATTCAGAAATATAAAATGGCTATTGTGCAGGAGTATATCGCCAAGAGCTTTTGGAGCAAAGATGAAGTTGGTTTCTCTTTTTTAAGTGTAATAGGGCAGTCGGGTGGGATCATCATTCTTTGGAAATTTGGTTCGGTTAAAGTGGTGTGCACTTTTAAAGGAAACGGTTTTTTGGGTGTGAAGGTGAATGGAATAATCATCTTTATCATGTGGTTAGTGTCTATTCCCCTTGTGATTTAGTCTCGAAAAAAATATTTTGGAAGTCTTTGTTAGAGTATAAAGATAGTCATGTGGATGGAGAGTGGATTATTAGTGGCGATTTTAATGCGGTCAAAAATCAGAGGGGGAGGAAAAGAAGGACCTTGTGTGGTAGAAATTTTGAGATGAGGGATTTTTCCGATTTTATTGAAGATAGTAAGCTTGTAGATGTGCCGTGTAAAGGTAAAAAAATTCATTTGGTATAGCGGGGTGGGAGGGTGATGAGTAGAATAGGTCGATTTCTTGTTTCGAATATAATTATGAATAGATGGGGGTGGTTGGTCATTTTATTGGTCTTTGAGACATTTCGGATCATTTCCTAATTTGGTTAATGAAGGATTGCACGAATTTATGGACGAAACCTTTCAAGGTTAATAATGAATGGTTCGCTCATAAATCTTTTATCCCTTATGTTGAAAAGGAGTGGAACGATTTAGTAGTGGAAGGGACGGGAGATTACGTGTTAAAGGAGAAATTTTGTTTGCTCAAAGAGAGACTTAAACTGTGGAATACATAGGTGTTTGGAAGGATGGATTTGGCGGTGGAGGAGGAAGTGAGGTTGATGAATGAAGGTGATGACTTTCTAATCTTGGAAGGAGATAGTAAAAGGGAATATGTGATTCTTAGTAGGAAGGAGGCTACTAGCCGTTTTTGGTTGAATTTTAGGATTAAAGAAAACATGTTCATCCAAAAGGCTAGGTTGAAGTGGCTTAACGAAGGAGACTCTAATAGTAGATTCTTCCATTGTGTTATAAAAGATGGGAGAAGATATAATCATATAAGACCTATTATTTCTTCGGGAGGTTTGTTGGAAGCGGTGAGGGAGGTGAAGAAGGAGGTTAGGTCTCATTTTTCCTGTAAGTTTCTAGAATTGGAGAGTGATAGACCGATTGTTGATGGGATTTCTTTTAACATACTTAGCAATTCTGACAGAATTTCTCTTGAAGCTCCTTTTCTCAAAATTAAAATTAATGAGGCGGTTTGGGGATGTAAGGGTTCCAAAAGCCCGAGGCCCGACCGGTATTCCTTCTTATTCATAAGAAGGTGTTGGTTCTTTCTTAAAGTTGATTTTGTCAATTTTTTAATAGTTTTTATTCCTGAGTGGTGTTATCAAATGCAATTGTTTCATAATTTTTGACACTGGTTCCGAAACCATCTAATCTGTTGGATTGGATGATTATCGTCCTATTTATTTAGTAAGGTGTTTGTACAAAGCTCTTTCTAAGCTTTTGGAGGCTAGATTGAAAGGTGTGTTGAATTCTTTAGTTTCTTCGTGCCAAAGTGCCTTTGTTCCGGGAAGACAAATGTTGGATGAAGTCTTGGTGGCTAATGAATTAGTGGATTTTGCAGTCAAGGAAGAAAGGAGTTGTTTACTTTTCAAGGTAGACGTTGAAAAGGCTTATGACAAAGTTAGTTGGGGTTTCTTAAGATCCATGTTGAAAAAATGGGTTTTTGGGACCTTTGTGCGTTGGATGGAGGCAACCATCTTTCATAGTAAGATGTCGGTGCTAGTTAAGAAAAGTCCTACGAAGGAATTTATGGTGGAGAGGGGTTTGGACAGGAAGATCCTCTCTCTCCTTTTCTCTTTGTTTTGATTGCGGAAGGTTTAACAGGGTTGGTGAGGAAGTCGTTGGAGAATGAGAATTTTGAAGTGTTCAGTGTTAATGGTAAATGCATGGTTGATATTCTTCAATTCGCGGATGATACTTTGTTGGTTGGAGAAGGAAGTTGGAAACTTAAATGGGCTATCAAAACAGTGTTGAGAGCTTTTGAGATAGCATTGGGTCTTGGTATTAACTATTACAAAAACAAATTTATTGGAATTAATATTAATTCTAATTTTATGATGGGAACGTCTTCCTTTTTATCTTGTAGAAGGGAGGAGAAAGAGTTCACATTCCTTGGTATTCCTATAGGATTCAATCTTAGAAGGATCTCAACGTGGAATTCACTTGTGCTCAAGTTGAAGAAATACCTTTCTAGTTGGAAAGGTCGTTTTCTCGGCTTTGGAGGGAGAATCACTCTCCTTAAGTCAGTTTTGTGTTCCATGTCAATTTTTATTCTCTCTTTCTATAAAATTCCGGTGAAGATTGCCAAAGAAATTACCAAAATTCAATATAATTTTGTGGGGCGGAGTGGAGGAGAAAAGAATGATTCATTGGGTGGGATGGAAGGATTTTGTGTAGATACAGAATTTGAGGAATTTTCTGGGCGAAGGAAATAACTTTGCAGTTTGGAGGGATCAACCGTTATGGAGTGCAACTACTGATCAAATTTATTCTATTTGTTCCTATTATACTCAGATCACTGCCTGCAACATTTTGTCGGGCCCTCCCAACAAGTTCAACAACGTTTTGTTATGGGTTTGAAAGATGAACGTGCCTTTCAAAGTCAAGAGTTTTGGGTGGAGGTGCTTCATTATAGACTACCAATAAAGGATCTTTTATTGTTTAGAGGTATGAATATTCCTATTGATTCTCAAAAATGTGTTTTGTGTAATTCTGGAGCTGAGACTTTGGAGCATACCATTTTTAATTGTTCTATTGCTAAACTAATTTGGAAGAAGATGACGGAGTGCATTGGTTTTACAGAAACTTTGGGGCATGGTTTCAAAGAGAGTTTTTGGAGGTGGCACAACTTCTGCAAGTTCAAGAAGGTTAAAGTGGGGAAAGAAGGATGTATATGATTGGCAATTTGTTGGAGTATTTGAATTTTAAGGAATGATATTATTTTTCGGAACGACAAATGGAATGTTTATGATGTGGCTTGAAACATTAAAGGCTATGGTTTGAAAGTAGTCTTTTATCGGTGAAATTACTTAGTTCAATTGTAATTTTTACAAATTTAACTAAGATTTTTTTGTTTTATTTATCATAAAGACAATTGATTGTAATTTCTCTTTTATGAGTCGAATTCTCGATTTCTCTTGTAATTGCTTTTGAGAACTTTTAATCTCTTTAATATATTTCTTACTTATTAAAAAAATTTAAAATTTATCATAATGTTTAGTTGGTTGAGTCTTAGTCCAAATCCAAAGACCTGGTTAGGTTAGATTTAGAATTCAGTCAAATCCAATACCACTGAACCTATATATGAACATATTTTAATACAATATTCTCACCTAAAAATGCTATATATTTTTATAATATTATCAATAAATTTAGAAATGTTTTCATTTTAAAATTTTATATTTATTTTCTCTACACACTACACTAGCTAGCAATAATAAAGCTGTACGAAAAAGACAGTAAATTGAAGATTACTGTATGTTTTTTCTGACTTACAAGGAACCCTATATTGCAGAAAAATAATGTAAAGATACAGAAAATTTTGGTTGCATGTGATAGTCAAAGCTGACAATAAGCCAACTCAATTCTGGACCAACATAAATATATAAATTTTTGTGATTAAATATTTCTTTTTTCCTCTTAAATCGATGTATGTGAATTAGTGTCACAAATCACTATATTAATTAACTTCACTTTATTTTGTGTACCTCACTCAAAACACTATTTTATTGTATATTATCCAAAAAAAAAAAAATTGAGGTATCTTATTTTATATTATCCATTGTAATCACAAAGATCAAGCTACATGCATGTTTTTATGTCAAATTACATTAATTAATGTTGAAAATTTGATTATAGATCTTGGTCTTGGCTAATAGGCCTTGACTAATCTATGTGAAAATGGATTCCAAGCACTTTTCTTTTTTTCATGCAATCACATTGTCATGATATTTGTGATCATTTGATATTGATCAAACGGTTTATAAAAAACACATTCACATTTTTTTAATAATTTAAAATACACATTCTTTTAATCACAATTTATGACTGTAGCAAAACCCGATGCAATTGATGATGTTGTTAAGATAATAATTTGATGGTAAAAATTTAACTTTATATAATATTATTTTAATTAATAATAATTTCTTTATTTACCAATTGTGTATGACTTGTACTTTAAATATATTATATATTTTTTACCAAAACAAAAGTCACTCAACATTTTCTAATTTTCTCATAAATATACATTTTAAACCTTTAATCCAACAAGATATTACTCCACTACCTAGTATTGTGTAAAAATGTTCTTATGAGTTTTAATAGTTAGTAATCATTATATTTATGAATGTTTTCTTTAGTTTTAGTAGTTAGTAATCATTGTTAAAGTTTTCTACCTAACATTCTACCCTCTTTTGTACCATTGAAGTTACTCAAAATTTGAATTACAAACTATATAGTACCAAAGCTAAAATACAAAAAGTACTATTTCACATAGAAAAAATTATTCTTTTCAATTGTGTACTTTGTAACGGTATAGTAAGATAATGTTTAGGTTGTTAAAATTTTCAATGATATATAAACTAAAGAAAGTAAAAAATTAAACAAGTCAAAGTAGAGAAGAAAATTTGTTGCTCTAAAATTGAGTAAGTTGATTTTTAGAAAGTACTATTGAACAATAAATCTTTTATTTTTGTTAACTTATGTTTATTTGTATAACAACTAAAAACTCATCTAGCTAGGTTAATAATTTTTTTTAAATCTTTTTGTACATTTAAAGAACTTGTACCAAAAAGGTATATCAACCATATGAGGAGTAGCTACTTTGATCTTTGAAAAAAAGTAGAATTGGTGAAAAAATGTATGAAAAAAGCTAAAGCTGTCAGAAAGAAACACTTTTATGTTTCATATAAGAATATGGATGTAACCATGCATTCATGCATTATATATATAAATATAAAAATTAAAAATAAGATATTTCCCAAATATTCAAAAATATTAAAGAAAGAAAACTAAGAAATGTTACCTTGAAGATGAATTTCCCCATAGATTGTTGGAAATGAAGCTAATATCATGATCTAGAGATAAATTATTTTGATTATGAGGTGGTGTTAGCGACATGAAATTCTCATCTCCATCTGTTAAATTTGGATTATATGAAAATTAATTAAAAATTCTTAATCATATAGTAGTAATGTAGAGACAAAGTTTAGGTTGAAATAAATTTTCAATGTTCACTTAGGTCTAAAAAACATTATTTAAATATGGAAGAATTAATAGAGTGAGTCATAAAGGTTTGTGAGAGGAATCTTCACATGATTTGAGTAAAGTAGACTCAAAATTTGGAACAAAGACCTAGGAATTAATTATTGTATAAATTTCATTAGGTAAATTATTAATAGTACAATGCAACTTTGTGGTTTTCATTGTGAATTACCTGAAGAAGCTGCTGGCTTGTCAGTGTTTTTAACAGTTCTATACATCTGCATAAACCAAATAAAGGACAATTAAGATCAAAATAAACACTACAAAAGATGAACAAAAAAGTCTTTTAATTGTGATTCACATCCACAATGGTGTCCGCAATATAAATAATCTTTAAATCTCGACAATATTACCATAAGAATTTTGATTGCATCAACAAGGTTTTAAATACGACTGTTACTGTTAAAACGACTGCGACAAAATAGTATAGAAATGTGAGAATACCATTAGTCTTTGTTCTTGTAATGAAAAAAAATTATGGTTAATTCACATAGTAATAAGCACAATCAATATTGCAATACTTGATAGAAATCACAAAAATATTTGTGCGACTATAACCCACAGTCATTACTTAAAAGTTTGTGCCTCCGCTGGTTTTCTTGCATTTCATTGTATAATCACGATTGAAACCATAATTGCAATTTAATACTATGGAAGTGATTCGTTTCAATTCAATTCGGTTGATAGTCAGAAAACATTTAAACTATTAGGTCATTAGTTGAACTCTAATCCAACGGTTTACATCCATCTAACTCAACTAGCGATTATCAATTAAACAATTTCATCTGCTCAACAAAACTCAAAATTTAAGTATCGAAAAGATCAAATAAAAAGCAAGGGCAAATAAAATAATAAAATGAGATGAATTTTTTTTCTCATTTTTCTAAGTGTTTGTTTTGTTTAATTAAATACTACTAATAACAATGAGGTTGATGTTTGGTAAGGTAAGTAAATTGGTTCTATTATTGAGAAATGATGGCTACTTTTCCTACTTTAAATTTCTTTTTTTTCTCTCTCATAAAAAGTAGAACTTGTCTGGTTCTGTGCATCAAAAACAAACAGATTCAACTGTTCACCTCTCCATTCACTCACTCACTGCATGCCTTGGTTCTTGTGCCTCTTAGAAGATAGACTTTGGATTTTGACAATCCACTTCAGTCACACATAAAGAGATTTTCTGATTTTCTAATTTTGTTTTACATGTCAAGAAAAAAAAGGGTAAGAGAAAAATATTTAGGTTTGAGAGTTAGTTATATTATATACCTGTAAATGGCTCTTCACATGAGCTAGTGTTAGATCTTTCACATCCATTAGCTCCAAAACTGACTTAGGTGTTGCTCCTATCATCCAAAATTTAAAACAAAAATTCATCAAGAATTATTAAAATTGCAATAACATATCTGATTACACTTAGATCTAACATCTCTGCAGCTTATACATCAATACAGCGCATGTTTGAATTGACAGAATTTTAACAGAGTTACAATATTATATAATTCTGTTAAATTTATTGTCAATTCAAATATACAAATGATTAATTTTGACTGTATCGGTGCACATGTCGTAAAGAATCTATAAATAAAAAACTTAAAGGAGAGAGATTCACTTTCATGGCCGCCGAGAAGTTCAACGGCGTGAACGAATCGATTATGAAGCGAACTAGTCCACCGCATTCTTGGAGCCCTCGTGTTCCTCTTATTACTTTGTTGCCTTGGCATCATCATTCTTGACCTTACAAATCCATTTCCAAACTCGGAATTTCCAAACTGATTATACTTTTGTTGTTGTTGCTGCTGTTGTTGTTGTAGAATTTGATGTTGATTCAAATTCAAGTATTGAAACTTGTGAGCTCTTAAACTCTCCATAGTTATTCCATTAAACCTCGAAACTTGCTTAACACCCTCAAAACCATTATTACCAGAAGAGCAAGAAGGATAAAGAGAAAAATTTGAATCTCTCTCTAATATTGAAGGATTGTAAGGGATTCCATTAAAGGGTCTTAATCTAACAAAGCTTTTTCTCTTCCAAAGACTCTCAGCTTCAGAAGGAGCTATTGTTGTTGTTAATGAAAGTTCAGTATCATCAATTCTTTGAAAAGTATCACCATTTTTCTTGAATGAAGATGAAAAGCCATCACTATGAGATTTGAAACCTTCATGAACATTTTTCCATATATCAAAAGGTGAATCCAAATCATCAACTTCATTAGTTGTGCAAATTGATGAAACAGCACTGTTTGGGAGACTAATTTGTAGAGAAAGATCAGGAATCTGATTCTGTGACATTTTTTTTTCAACAACCTGAGACAAACAAAGAAAAACTTAGAACTAAAACATGTAACAAAACATAAACATAGGACAATCAAATTAAGGATATTTTGTTTATTAATTTATTTATTGCTTTACTATACTATTGAGTAAGAGAAACAAACCCTTGAAAGAAAACTAAGAAAAATTAAAGAAACAAGAAGAAGATAGAATATATATTAATTAAGGTGATTAATTGTATATAAAGTGTGATCAATAATTAATAATTAATAATTAATAATTAATAATGAGTAATAATGAAATAAAAACAATATACCCTTTATCATGAGCTTCATAAAAGAAACATCCTTGAAAGAATCATGAGAGAGAGAGAGATGAGGTTTGTTTCTGGGAATAATATGAGTCTGAGAGTATATATAGGAAAGTGACACTCCAACAATTCCATTATTTCAATTCCATTATTTTTTATTCTATAATAATAATAAATAATAATAATAATAATAATAACTCTCCTTTTCTGAATAGTCAAAACACGCAAACACTGAAAAGTTTGGACAAATTTTTTCTCTGATAATTAATTTATGAATTCTCCGGAGACAACGGGGTGAAATATTGTATGCATTATTGAGTGTAGTGTGTAGAAACAGTAAACAAAGACTGTCCGTACTAACTACTTACTCCATATACCTAGCTACTACTTCTATCTCTATTTACTTTTTATATTAAAATATGAATAGTGTGTCACAATGCTTAATATAATAATGTTTCGTATATAAACTCTTTGATTTGTTTGAATTGGCCAAAAAATTTATAAAATTTAAGTTTGCTACACAATTTTGAAATTAATTATAATGCAATTTTATCCTTGAAAAAAATTATAATGTAATTTTATCTTAGAAAAAGTTTGGTCAAGAGAAATTACTGTACACATGGATAATGCATGAGTGTTTCCTATAATTTGAGATATGTGACATCTCATGTTCGGTTTTATCTTTTTTGTTTGTCAATAAATTTTATTGTAATTAATAAGAAATTTGTCCTATCGCACAAGTCTTGTTTGAATTCAAATTACACGTTTACCAAATTATTATTTATAAAACTTAACTTTATTTTTCAATTGGTTAACATTCGCATAGTTATAAATATAAGCTAATAATATATATTTGTTTTTTAAGTATTGATTCGTACTTATAATAAATCGTACAACTGATTCTCTAACTTAAATTATATTAAACAGTAACAAAAAAAAGATTTAAAAGATGAGCATTAAAATTAACAATCTACAGCTGGTATCTCATAAATACGTTCACATCTATCCATAAATTCAGATGAGTTAACAAACCTCAATTGAACTCAAATGAGTTAATTCTAAAAATTTATTAAACATATTCATGACATTTTCTAACAACACGTTTTCTCCCAACCAAATAATGTTGCACAATAAGCACTGAAGAATGCATATCAAAGCTAGTTCACTACGTCAAACAAAACTTTAGACAATGCTTTTTTTGGTTTTAGACAACACTTTAAAGCGCTGTCTATTCCAGCGCTGCTGTAGGAAAAGACAGCGCTTTGTTAAAAGTAAAAGCGCTGGCTAAAGGGGGCCTTTAGCAATGCTTTTACCTTTAAAGCGCTGGCTAAAGGAGACCTTTAGCAGCACCTTTACTTTTAAAGTGCTGCTAAAGGCCCTCTTTAGCCAGCGCGTTTACCTTTAAAGCGCTACTAAAGACACCCTTTAGCCAGCGCTTTTTCCGAAACAAAAAAAATTAAAAAAAACCTCTCTTAGGCAGCGCTTTTAATGTTAAAGCGTTGTCTAAAGCCCCCTTTAGGCATCACTTTTTTTAAAGCGCTGCTAAAGACCCCCTTTAGCCAGCGCTTTTTCTGAAACAACAAAAATTAAAAAAAAAGATCCCCTTTAGACTGCGCTTTTACAGTAAAAGCTTTGTCTAATGGGGGCTTTAGACAGCGTTTTTTAAAGTGTTGTCTAATGTCAACGAAATTTTTTATATAACCTTTTTGAAAAAAAAGCGCTGTTTGATATATACAATTTATATGCATAGATTTTAACCATATTTGTACCAGGTTTTCACTATATTTTGCACCTGTATAGACCATTATAAATTTCACCAGATTTTCACTAATATTGGAGTTTAATCCAATAAAAAATAATACCAAAAGATACTATGATACTTTTACAAATTACATATTACCCTAAACCATTACAAATTACTATGATACTATGATACAAATACATATGAAAGATACTATGATACCTGTATATACCATTACAAATTACAAATTTTGCACATGTATATACTTTTACAAAAAAACAACACCAAAACAACACCATTATATACCATTACAAAATCTATTCATCTCTATCTTCTACATATGCACATATAACCTGAAACAACACCAAAATATCGTAATTCATACCATGATACAAAAAAAATATATATAATTTACCACATGACAAACAACAACAAAATTGCAACACTTGAATATGTAAACTCAAAATTCTCATCAATTAAAGTAAGATTACAATATACCTTATATAACTTTCGTCTCAATAATGTATTGACACCAATCCTCCTTAAGTTCATCCAACTGAGAACTTGAGTAATAAGCATACTTGAATTCATCAAAGTACTACATAATAATATAATATAGTATGTTTAAGTTAAAACTATTTAATTATATGAGAAATATGTGTTAAATATTAAAATAACTTTTAAGTTAGAAATCCATACCTTAGATGGAATCTTTATTCGATCTAAAAGAAGGATTTCTCTCATAAACCTCAACATGTAAAAACCGTAATCTACTTTATTACGCTGCCGATGACACTACACATGAAAAGAAAATATAGATAAGGCCTAAGTTTTAGCAAGTATGATCACTATTAATATAATCAAAATTGTGATAATTAATTAATATACCTCCACTATAATCCATGTAATATTGTTGGATTTATTCTTTGGTACTTGAACACCTCTTTGTGCTCGGAAAACTTGTATAATGATAATAAAACATAAACGCATATTTAGAATAATTCACATAAATAAATATACACACACGAATATTTAGAATAATATCACTTACGTATCAACCATATTCTTCATATCTTGGTATGTACTTGGATCATTGCATAAAGAATCCAGATAATATACAACTTCTCTGATAGGATTAATCGCGACCAACAACCAATGTCCACTGTAAGATTAAACAAATATGAGGTGAAAACTTTCTACACAACGTCAAAATATGAAAAATTATAATAGATAAATTTAGAATGAAAATCTAACTCGTTGTCGGTATTAAGCGGTAAAAAGAACAACTTTTCGGTATCTTTGTCGGTCATAAAGCGCTCGAGTATATACGCCTTGACTTCATCTGGTTTATGAATGATTAACCCTAAATTGGTACTGAAAGTAGATAAGAAAGCGAATCTTTTCTCCATTCCACTCGGGCGCATCAATTTTTCATACAAAAACCTTAAATAAAAGACCTCATTAACATTTGAAATGAGTAAATGAATTGATAAATTAATTAGAAAAAGTAGATCGGATATACCTTATGTATGTATTAACAACATCGAGGCCTAATTGCGTATGTTGTAAAACTTGATCAAAATCCTCCATACCAATTGTTTCGGAATATTCAAAACCAAAAATACCAAACTCCATAGGTAGAAGACAAGTATTTCCTTCCGGAATATCAAACATTTCTAAAAATGTCCCAAGGCACGACCTAAACTTGGAAGTAGGTTTTTTTTAGCCGCGGTATTCTTAGAAACAACCTTTTTTTGTGTGGAAATGTTGCTAATTTCAGGATTCTTACCCCTACCGACATCTTCATTCTCTTTAGCATGAATCTAAAGATCATATAATTAATTATGTGAAGTATAAGATCACGAATTAACATTTAATTAGTTACATGCATAAATATCATATAATTGTGATGTACCTCTTTTATTCATGCCACTGACTCGGTTTGCCGCGGAATCCCCTTGTCTTTTGCTTTGGATTTTGTTGAATCTAATTAACATAACCATGTAAAAACAAATGTAAGTAAAATGCGCGTAAAAACTTTGATTACTCAAAGATTCATATATATGGTTTTAAGCATACCTCATTATCTACACTAATGAGGCTTGATGGACATGTAACATGAAATTCTGGCAGCAGATACTCAATGTCACAGTGAATGTTATGACACCGTATCTGACTTTCTACAAGACAGTAAGTCTAAAAGCAGTAAAGAACACAGTTAATTGTTTACCCAGTTCAGTGTGTAACAACACCTACTCTGGGGGCTACCAAGCCAGGGAGGAAATTCACTATAAGAGATATTAATTCAGGAATAAACCAACCAGTTTATCTCCTTCACTTAAGACCTACCCAATGCAACTTCAATCTAAGTTCAACTTAAACCTGAGTTCCTACTCACTCCCCCTCAATCACAGCAGTGATACTAAACACTTGACTAACGAAATTATGAAGACACTCTTCAGAACATACACTTGATTATGCTTCACAGCTTTTAATCAACTAACACAAACACTCGTGCTTCAAAGCTTTGAGTGATACATAACCTAACTTGACTTTGCTTCAAAGCTTTAATCAAGTGGCACAAACACTCGTGCTTTAAAGCTTTGAGTGATACACAACCCTTACAATCAAAACCTACTCCAAGTCACTTATCACAATGATAATTGCTTGGATTATAGTAGTTAAAACTATACAGTCCCTTATTGATCTTCTGTCAAAAGTTATCTTCACCAACAGTCGTCTTGTTGAATATATAGGTCGTTGTTCTTCAGCTAGGGCTTCCACGAAAATAGTTAGGGTTAATTAACCTCAAGACTTGGTCACAGGACTTTATCAAACCAGATTAGGGTTAAGCCATGTTAACCTAAAGTCCACGTGAGACTTTGTACTGGACTGTGTAAACCAGTTTCCTGAAAAATCTCAGAATTAACAAAACTGTACAACTGTTAGATCAGTACAGGATGTCTA